CAACAACATACATTTCTTGCAGAGAAGAAAAATGACCCACACTTTCATTTTCTTTATTTTTCATTGATACCGTATGAATACAAAGTTTCTAGAAAGCTACAAAATGTCTACCACTTTATCAAGAAGGCATCAAAATGTGTCACTTTGCAAAGACATGAAAACACCTGCAGGAAACTGACACAAAAATAGCATTTTTAGAGTGATGAAATAATTGCACTTAACTGTCATGGATATTAAAGTTATCACACATATGTACCGCGAAAGCTAGAATACATTTGTTTTGTTTTTACAAAGCACTTTATAAAAAAATTCTCTGCACACAAACCCTATAATTTTCATATAACTATCATACTAAAGATAAATTCACTTTAAAGCCAACACTTAGAACATTTTTTTAAACAAAAAGGTACCAGTACCTAAACACAAACATTAATGAATACAATACTGTACTGCCCAGAGGTTTAACCAAATGCCTTTCAAAAGTTTCTGCAAATGGGTTGAGAAATCGTGTGTGAATCTGCCCACCCCTTGCTCATTTCTCTAATCTCCTTAAGAGGAACCCGTTACCCAGAGGTGAGTTCCCACCCGGTCCCAGCAGCAGTACAACATTAAAGGAACCAGATGAAACGCTACGCCACAAGCCCATTAAGCACGCCACGAAGACAAGAGAAAACCATTAAGTTCTTGAGAATGTGGACAAATATACGTGGCAAAAACCAACTCACATAAAACTTGAACAATATTAAAGAAGTAAAGGCTATTAAGGTTTTTAAAATGTTACAATTTTTTTGTTATTTTTTTTAGGCACGTACTATTTTTGTTTTTTATTTTTTCCTTGTCTGTAGTCATAAGCCCATTGAAAAAGGCCAAGAGAAGTCAATATTTCCAGGAGGTTAACAGGGAGATGTACATGGGTCATTTAAAGAAGGGTGGTTATTATCCAATTTATACAATGAAATTAATCACAGAAAAATGATTAATGGGAACAAAAAACCCTAAGGGATTAGTTTCCAATTGGCTGACAGCTGGTTTCTGTCCGCCTCTCCTGGAAGGAGGGGAAACAGAATAAGCTCATTGGAAGGTCATAAAAGTCAGCCTGAGCCAGATGGAATTCTAATGGAATCTGACCCAGTGTAGTGACGAATGAGAGAAGAAGGAAATGTTGCTTCCAACAGTAAAATGATGTATATATAGCGTGGCATTCAGTGATTCACTGCAAGTTCAGAGTAAAATGAGTGAGGGCTTAGCAAGTACAACAATAAATAAAATATTCTATATGACTGAACAATGCATGACTTCAGTGAAGCTACTGTTTGCAATGCAGTAAAATTTCAACAGAAAACCTTCATTCTTAATGACAAAAGTAAAGCACTAATGAGAGAAAACCAGTGCCAATCAAGACAGGGACAGCTGGAAAGAGAAGCAGGGACACATGCATGTGACTAATTTCTTCCAAGTTGTGGGACCGTTCTGATAGTGAAAAATCAAAACTTCAAGCAGCTAACTATAACATAGGCTGAGTAATTTTCCTTTTCATTTGATAGTGTAGTTTTCTTTTAACAGAACTCTTATAAATACAACATGGGAGTGGAGGCAAGAAATCACTCCTGAAATTTCAGAGCCCAGAGAAGCTATTCCTAAAGACACAGGTAAAGACTGAACACAGGTAGCTATTCCTAAAGACACAGATAAAGACTGAACACATGTAAGTAAGTTTAGAGGTTAACTTTCAGAGTTGTTTGATGTCATTTTTACATCTATATTAGCAAAGAAAAGTCGTTCCTGGCTTCTCTTTGGCTGGTGTTTGTGTGCCTCCTTGTCCATTTACTCCTCCCGACCACTAAGTTTTCCCAGTTTACACAAGTTTTGATATAAACTGGCACATTAAGGAGTTGCCCTCCCCACCTGGCGGGGGGCGGGGGAAGGGCTGGAATATTCTTTGAAAATGCCAAATTGCAGATGGTGCTCTTTGGAAGTTTCTCATGGCACATTCACACACAACACTTCAATTGTAATGACCCTAACACATTTTTGTTCTGCACTGTCATCTCAGTTTGAGGCTTCCAACTTTCAAAATGGTATCACTGTGTATAGCAGGTAAGTGCGCACTGTCATTTGGATGGAACAGAAAGTCTCCAGAGACGGAACATGAACACAAGAAGGTGAAAGCTGTAGTATCTGTCCGCTGGCTGAGATTCTGTTGTTGGTGTGGAAATTCCTTCACACAGATGCAGGCTGGGTGACGAGCTGACATGACATGCCGAGTCATCGGCACACACAAACACAACAGTTTCCGGGGTTCCTCCTGTTGCGGTGTGCTATTGGTGAGTGGTAGTGGGCCCCCACTGGAGGACAGACTCACGGTGGGTGGGGATCACACGGTGCTCTTGTGAACGGAGACCTGTGGTTGGTTACTCACCCCGGTAAACCAAAGGCATTACGGTGATCTCAAAATATTTTTGGTCTCTCTACAAATTGTCATCTTTATGGCAGCACTTTTCTAAGCTGGAATCTCAAACCAAAGGCACTTTCATGCTAGGGTGCAGAAGGTTCACAAATAACTAAGTATTTGGTCATGAATTTAAAAGGCAACTAGAAAAGGACAATTTGCTTTTCAGAGTAAACTACAAAGTTGCAACCTTTTGTTTTGGTATATATATATTTTGAGAGGGTGGTTAGTTAAAGAATTGACTTGGGTTCAGTTTCTGATTTTAAATCAAGTCATCCATTTCTTGTAGACTGGGTAAAAATGGGCTTCAAAACACAAATAAGAGAACAATTTTGCTTGTCTTGTTTCTGAGATTGGGCCAATTAGTGAATGGACACCAAGAGCAGGTGTGCGAAAGGCTGGCGGCATGACTAAGGCACTGCGACTGGAACACTTTGGCAGCTCTGAATTGAAAACTCCCTACAGAAGTAACGGTAGTTAGAGAATGCTTCCAGCTTACAAAAGGGCCCATAGTTCCCAGGCAGCCTTCTGCACTGCTTACCCTACACGCAACATCTCTAAGATTTAAGGCTTTTCAGAAATGACACGTGCAGGACTTTGCCACAGAAACAGCAACATACAGAAATCAGCAATGCAGACATCCACCTGATGTCACAGGAGTGAACGCCAACAAACAGAATTACTTCTACCCTTCCTTAGGACAGGTGTAGTGTACCAGAGCATATACAAAAGTAGACAAATTATATGTACCTGGTTTGTAGAATTAACCAACTGTTATCTCATACAATGGCAATAATTTATGGTTGTACAAAAACAATGGCCAAAGCCACCACAGTATTGAAATCCAATGAAGACTTGGGTCTAAAAGTTCTTTGGGGACTTTTAACACCAAGTGCTTGGAACAGAGGGGCTGTTTTTGGCTGGTCTGAGGGCAGGATTTTGCTGCTCTGATGCTCAACAAATAGAAATTTGATTCAGAGCCTGTGGCATATGAATTGTCTTAAGCAGAAGCAAAAAGGCTCATCAGTTTTCCCAGTGCTATGGAGGCCTCAGATGGGCACTCCCTGGTGAGAAGTAGCATCAGGGCGATGCTGGGCTTCTACATCAAGGATTCTCAAGCCTCCTCCCCCATCTTCTGCACCAACCCTGTCACACATTCTTACAGATCATTGAAGCATAGAGCACCAAAGAAGAATGGCCTCGACCAGAAGAGGTCAAGGATCAAAGAAGTGGGAGCCCTGGACAAGAGCTCACCCTTATTTTGTCACTAGCCAGTTGGGTGACTGGGCATGTCATTGCATGCTCCTCCAGCCTCAACCTTCTTGCTCACAAAATGAAGGGGAGTTGACTGCATTGTCTTTTGCATCAAAAACAAAGAATTCTAGAAGCTCTCTTCTGGAACAGATCCCTTCACACTGATGGAAAAAAAAATCCTCCAGAGGTCTCAGTAAGTTCTACAAACACCATGGGTTGTAAGGCAAAAAAAATAGATGCAGCCTAGAAGAACTCAATTGAAACAATTAAAGAGTTGGATAATGAGATCCATGGGCTTATTTTTTTTAACCCCAATAAACTAAGAGCTGAAGGTCAAGTCAGAAATGTTCAGAAATGCTCTGTGGAAGAAAACTTTCAAACTAGGAAGAAACAGGATACAAATATCACTTCATGAATTCTCCTACCTGCCTCCTGATTCCCTGAAAGAAAAGAAAAGAAAAGAAAAGAAAAGAAAAGAAAAGGAAAGGAAAGAAAGGCTCCCAGGAGAGAAAGTTTTGGAAAGCAAAATGAAAGGGAAACTGTCACCAATAAGCTAATGTGACTCATAAGGTCAACTGGTGTGACTATACCCATGAACCATTTGGTACATACAAGGACATGATGAGTTGTGAAAAATGGGGTACAGCCCAGGGACACTAATAAACCTTTTACAAAGTGTAAGGCAACCCCATACAATAAAGAATGTCACTAGTGTTGAGGCTGAGGAAACCTGGTCTCTGGTAACCTTGTATTACAAACTCGGGTGCATTCTGAAAAAGCCCCAGTTGACAGAGGACTTCTTCCTACAATGGAAACCAAGGCCAACAGCTCCTCCGTTCTTCAATTCCTCCCTAGGAAAGCAGGCCTTCAAACTGAGGAGCAAAAGCCCAGGATGGCCATGAAAAATATGGTACTGGCAGAGAGCACTGAGACTAGTGGGGTTGGGGCTTGGCATAGGCTTCCTTATGGTGAAGGAGCTTTGAAGATAAGAAGAGAAGGAAGATGATCAAAAAGGGACTGAGATTAGATGTGAGAACACAAAATCCACCCAAGGGTCTACTTTGAGAGACACAAAGAGAAGCAAGCGGAGCTGGGAAGGTGGCTCAGTGGTGGAGGGCTTGCCTTGCATGCATGAGGCCCTGGGTTCCATTCCCCAGCACCACAGAAGCAAAAAGAAAAAAAGCCAGAAGTGGCACTGTGGCTCAAGTGGTAGAGCGCTAGCCTTGAGCTGAAGAGCTGAGGGACAGCGCCCAGGCCCAGAGTTCAAGCCCCACAACCGGACCCCCCCCCCAAAAAAAAGAAGCAAGCCCAAGACCTGGGATAACTGGACCAGAGACTAAAAAGGAAAACTATCTGTCCTGTAGAAAGCTCTAAAATATTATTAAAGAATCTTATGGCTCATAAAAGAGCAAAAAAATAACGCTCAAAGTCATTCATATAAACACTAAAACTCAAGTACAAAGGTGTTCAGAGGCATGAGGACAGTGAAGCCACTGTAGTTCCAGCCTGACCCTACAGCTAACTGCTAACCTTTAGCTGGTCTTCTTCAGTCTATTTTTTTGTACTTTGCAAATGAATCCTCACAGTCCTGCTAGAAACACAAAAGAATCTCACTCCTGGATGACAACATCATCCAGACACCTCTCAAGCTCCTGGATGGCCTGACTTTTAGCCACATACACCTTTTCATAAAGTTCTAGTCTTTGGGGTAGTTAGGATTCTCTTAAGGAAAGGTATAGGAAATAGAGACCAAAGAAACATCCCTAAAAGGGATGCCCAACAGAAGTTATAGTAAATATGATGACTATGGAAGATGTATAAGTGTTTGGGCTGAAGAACAGTTTTGAAGGGTTGGAAACCAGGATAGTCCTTCAAAGGCTTGCTTGGAAGCACGTAGCCAGGTACACAAAGGTAACCTCGTTTTGGAGTACTGTCCTACCAATATATGTAAGGCAGATGTGTTCCAAATAAGACAGTTATGCTGTTTCCAAATAAGACAATTCTCCTGTTTTCCTTAGTGACCTTTGGTGAGTCTGGGAGAAGTCAGGCTCTCAGACACTGATACAGTGCTGTTCTTTTTGCGACAAGCCATCCAAATACTACACTCATGGCCCCAAAATGCTGAACAATGTACAAGAGGGTTAGAGCAGATGGCAGGGAAAGGGACAGAGTAAGTCACTTGGTGTGGTACTTTCTAGCCTTGGTGGAAAAAATCTTGCCATGGATTGTAAATAACAAGACTTCATATCCTATTGTGTTCACATATTCCAAATGATTACAAAAAAAAAACATTTTCTTTAAAGAAGGCTTCCTCTTCCCTCCTCGATGAAGCACTTTTGGAAATTACCCAAGGCATGTGGCCCAATCAAATCAACTCTGCCCAGGCGAGGCTTTGGAATATTTAGTTAGGAAAGAGAACCTCCTGAATGAGCCTGGTAGCAAAAGTCCAAAGATGGATGGAATTCTTAAACCTAAGTCCAACAAGTGCTGTACTGGGCATTCTTAGAGAGAACAGATCTAAGACTACAGACACAGATTGAGATACATACACACATCAGCACCTAGCTAACAGAGTACTACTAAACAGATGTTCAATGGGAGTGGAACAGCCACAGATGTATATGTGTACATACTCAGTACACATATTTACACACATAGTTACAGTTATAGCAGGTTCCTACTTATATTGGGTCATCAGAAATAAAGAATTTATCCACAGGCTGGTGGGGATGCTCACAACATTCTGGGGGAGCACAGACCCTAACTGATGAGCCTTTTACTTGTTTGGTCAATGAAGTTTTCTCCCAGCCACAGGATTCTCTATTCTTTGCAGCTCACAGTGCAGTATTCATGCCAATTTTAGACTTTTGCTATTAAATTTCAGTGGATCGAATATTTACTCATCTCAATAAAAAATTTGGTTGTCCATATAAAATATAACTGCACACACAAGACTATAAACATTGTAAGCTTAAATTTTTCAGTATTTATCTACTTATTGCAAAAAAGAGCCATCTTTTCTTTTTCATTAAATAATCAATCATCACATTAGTACAATACAATTTTACATTTTTTAAATATACTATATATGTTAAGGATAAGGGGTGAAGTCTTCTTCCTTTGTATTATCTTGTTTAAGAGTTTAATGGATTAGGAGATTAGTTTTAACCTTGAGGAAAGAAGTACAAATTTTTCTCATTAGAATATTTCTACCAAGCATTTCTTAAGGCTATAGTTTAACATTTGGTTTCAAAAAAAGAAAGGTTTCATTTAAAAAATAATTTAGTGAATTACATTCTTTCATAACTTCCACCCTAATTAGTTACAAAGATAAGTCTAAAGATTCTTAGTTTTGTGTACTAATTTACATTTATATTTAAAGATTAATTTTACTTGTATCTTAAAACAAGAATTTTATGTTGAAATAAAAAGAGAGAGAGAACTAAATACATTTGTATAAAGGCAGTAAATGTCCCATGGCCAATGCTCTGTCTCAGTATTTTCTACCACAATAAGAAACAGGTCTCTGCAGAGAGAGAGACTTAGGTTGTTAAGTTTCCCCTTTCCCGAGGAATTGTATACGACAGATCTGAAGAACACATAGAAACGATTCAATTTTTCTTTTTACAACTGTACCAGAATTTCACAGCTATGACAGAATGAACACATGAAAAAAAATGACTTCACTCAAACAAGATTTAGAAAAATTGGGGTGACCTCGGGGCCAGGGCACCACCACTCTGTGTGGTGAGGTTTACAGTCAGTCGTTTGATAATGGAGAGTGTGTGTGTGCACATAGTGTGTGTATATACATACAGATATCTATATATATAAATAATCATGTTCAGTCCTTTACAAGCCTGTAAATATGATGTTGTGCGCCGTGTTCACTGTTTGAAACTTCAAATACACAGGCCATGCAGAGGAGAGTTTCTTGTGTGTCCCTGTTTGTAACCACCTGTTTAAAAAAAAAAAGTTACAGACATATCATGCCACATGAAAACTGTACATTCCACTTGTGCCTGGAGGACTACAAAGTACTGACTAGAGATCTTCTCAGCCTTACTCTGTACCCTCTAACCCACATTCAGAAAGCTATGAGTCTCATCTGATCCCACCAAGACTTGCCCATCATCTGAGTCCAAGAAAAAAACCACAAGAATTGGTGAGGTTTTTGTGTTTGAATATTCTGAGCTCATTTTTTTTATCATCAAGGGAATTTTCTATTATTTTGTCCCTGTGGATAATCATTTATCCTAGGCAATTGTCTATCTTATTATTTAAAAAGAAATTTTTGGTAGCACCGTTTAATTCAGTGCCTTGCAGGCAGTCTATTACTTAAGCCACACTCCATAGCTCTTTTTGCTTTAGGTTTTTTTTGTTTTTGTGTTTGTTGAGGTAGTTCTCACATTATGAGGTTCTCACATTAGTAAGTTCTCTAACTTACATGTCTGCATAGCTAGGATAATTGGCACACCCCAGCAGGCTCAGCTTTTTGTTGAGATGAGCCCTCTTGCTTTGTGTTGGTTATTTTGGAGCTAGGAGTCTCACAGACTTTTCTGCCTGGACTAGCTTCAAACTTGTATCCTCAAATCTCAGCCTCTTTAGTAGCTAGGATTACAAATGTGAGCCACCAGTATTTGGCATCTTATCTCTTTTTGAGGGGGTGAGGATGGTGGTGGTGGTAGAAAACATTCAAAATCTATTCTTGTTCCTTGTTCTATCTTATTTTTAAACTTGTGCTTAGTTTTGCTTTACAATAGCCAATGACAAATATGAACTCTATGGGTGCCTTGCTCACTATTACCTAATTAACCAGTGGTGCTAGACTCAGCAAAAGTTGCTGCTACAGAAAGGAAGAACAGTATGGGTAGAATCAAATCCAATGACAACTCTTCCTCACAGATACAGGCTTTACCTTCCAAACTTTATTGTGAAATACCTATCCGTTTTCCCTTCTATCTCTTGAATTCTTCTTCACACTCCTGCCTCAGCCTCTATTCAGATTTTGAGCTCTCTGACCCAACTTCTCTTCACTGTGGTCTTAGTTATCCATGCCACCCTTAGAAGGAAGTTTCTAAAGGCAAATCTGATCAAATTCAAGACACCACAGTGACTCCATGACATTGATGCTTGAAAACATTTTGAACTTGGGAGCCTAGCCTACCTTCTCATAAATCTAAGGTTGAAAAAATGCACCAGGATTAAGTTTCCCTGGTGCTTAAGACATCCATGTTTATGGTCCTTGACTGAAGAATGTACTCTCATCATACTGATTTGCCCTATAGAACTGTATGATTCATATGAATTGTTTTTCTGAGGGACATGGACTGCATTTCTTAGCAACTAGCAAAGTGTGTGGTGCACACAGTCATTGAGCAGTCACTTAATAACTATCTGCCAAGTGAGTGAAAATTTCTATCACAGCCAACATAAACTGAGTGCTTGCTATCTATCTACTTGGTATGAAATGCTTTACACAGATTGTCTCATAGGACATTATAGCTCTATCAGTGGGTGCTATTCCCCTTTGACAGAGAAGGAACTGAGGAGCAATTGTGTCCTCAGCTAACTAGATATCTCAGTTATTTTGTCATCAGGAAGCCTTCCCCAACCTCCCAGACTAGGTGAAACTCTAACATTATATGATCCTACTGCCAAACATCAGCCAAAGGTTTTCCTTTCCATTCAGTTCTGATGACCTGATGAATGCCTGCCAGCCTGCCTCGCTCATCAGATGCTGGGATGGCTTTTGTACCTTTCCAGTTCATCACAATAACCTCAACCACTGACACCTACATATGCACACATAGAATGGCACTTCTTGGTAAATCTGAAAAATTCTTGCCCATCAAGGCAACTTAAACAACATCTTTCACCATTCTGAAAATCCCTACCATGTTCTGTACTTCCATGACGCCTGATTTTACAAGTTCTCCAAAGTCATCATTACCTTGGATTATAATGGTCCATTTACCTGACTTTTTCCTCAAAAAGCCATGAGTGGAGAATAAGCCAGAAGGCCCAATTTCTCTAGAATTCTCCAATTAGTTGGTTGTCTTCATATCCATAAGCAGTGGCTTAAATTCAATTTTTTCTAAGGACTTGATAATGTTTCTAGCAGATATATATTGGCAGCTATTAATTCCTCATATCAAGGGAATTAAATTGTTTAATGACATTTTTGAAGTTAATCTAACCTGATTAATCCCAAGAACTGGTACCTGGGCTTGGTGGGACACAGGTGCTCTGATATGTCCAGGCCATATTACTTAGGTTCTGAGGCTATCATACTCCTTAATGTGCAGGCACAAGGCTGGCTTTCAAGCAATAGCTCAGACCCCCTCCAAGAGAACTGAGAAGCCATTCACCTTGTTCTGGTTACTGCCCAAGGCTGTCTAAGATCTACTACAGTCTACTCTTAGAACTGTACTTGTGCTTATAAAGCAATGGAGAACACCTCTAAAACAGGCACCTTCTCCTTGCCAAAACCCATAAAAGTCCATTAGAAAAAAAGGATGTTAATGTGGTTATTAAAGAATAGGTATTCTATGGGCTGGGACGGTGGCTCAGTGGTAGAGTGCTTGCCTTGCATGTCTGAGGCACTGAGTCCCATTCCTCAGCACCACATAAGCAGAAAAAGCCGCAAGTGGCGCTGTGGCTCAAAGCGGTAGCCTTGAGGTGAAGAGCTGAAGGACAGCACCCAGGCCCAGAGTTCAAGCCCCACAACTGACCAAAAAAAAAAAAAAAAAAGTAGGTATTCCAAATTTCTACATTTTGTAGGCACACATGAGAACACATTGATAGTCTCTCCCTAGAATACACATTTTTCCAGTAGCATGCCAATCATGAGATGCCTACAGCTCATTTACCAGGCCCTCCCTAGTGGAGCAGCTTTCAGTCCAGACTACTCAATACAATGATCTCAAGAACTTTAAAAGGAAGCAAACAAAACCCATGATGAACCCCACCCTCAGGTTTCTTTTTAAAGCCCCTTGGATGAATCTGATATGCAAAGAGCTGTAATTTTAAAAATTGCTTGACTTCCTTTTTATGGTGGCATGTGACAGCTGGCTCATGAAAGTTACTGTTAACTACTAAGGAATTTTGGGAACTGGACAACCACTGGTAGCTACAAATTGCCCATGGAGGATGGGAATGAGGCAGAGAGACTAGAAAATAACATTTTGAACATTTTTCCTTTTAACCAGTACAAGCTACATATAGTGGCACACACCTGTAAAACCAGATACTTATGAGGAAGAAACAAAAGTTCAAAGCCAGTCCAGTCAAATGCGATAGTCTCAAAATCAAAATAAAGACAAACGGGCTGGGGTATAGCTGAGATGGTAGAGCAGTTGCATAGTATGTTCAAGGCCCCAGTTCAATTCATAGCACTACAAAAAGTAAACGAGTACATCTCTTGACTGAGAACTACTACCCTAATGCAACCAAAACTCTAGGTAAACAATTTTTTTTGTCAGTTCTAGTTGTTGTTGTTGTTTTCGCTAGCCTGGGGCTTAAACTCTGGGCCTTGGCTTTGGCTCAAAGCTAGTACTCTGTAACTTGAGCAACAGCACCACCTCTGGCTTTTTTCTGAGTAGTTTACTGGAGATAAGAGTCTCACAGATTATGCTGCTCAGACTTCAAACCACAATCCTCAGATCTCAGCCTCCTGAGTAACTAGGATTATAGGCATGAGCCACTGTGCCTGGCTAGTATTCTAGTTCTTAATCCTAGTAACAAAGAATAATAAAGAAAGGCTTTCTTCTAAGGCCTGAGTATTTGACTACAATATAGTTTTGCTGTTCCTTTCAGCAAAATTGTTTCCACTGAGTATTTCACTAAGTATTTTTAATTTTTTTAAATAACCCTAATGAAGCCCATTACTGATGTAACTGTTCTTTGAGGGCAACACTGTTTCTAATAATCTTCCCAAATTTGCCATAGAAATCTTCTATGAGCAATTTTTGCTTTCTAGTTAAGTATCATGGGAAGCCACATTGTGCAGGGGTATTGGTAAGTTTTCCCAGCATGAATCCGGAATACTCTGCCTTGACCTTTCACTTCAGTTGCCCACATTAAGTATGATAACGCATTTTTAGTCTGTAAAGAATATTTTCTTCCCCTTCTTAGACACTGTATCCTAATCTCATTCATATTTCTCTTGGACTTAACTGCCTATGTTTTCCTTTTTTTAGTAGAATGTTACCCCTTCAAGAAGGGTTTGAAAATACTTCATGACTTGAGTCCAGGTATTTTTGAAGGACAGAACTAATGACTCAGTTTTGCCTCATTGAAGATTTGCATTCCTGGTAGTTTCTGAGACAATTTTGGCTAACACTGGAATTAGTTGTGAAACTTAAAAAATACCATGCCTTAGGCCCTGTCCTTGGAAATCCTGATGCAAATGGCCTAGGATGCAGTCCTTCTAATATGCAGAGCTGAGAACCTAGGACCGCTACTTTGGATTATCTCACTAAACTTTGCATCTGCTAAGCTTAGAAATTCCCAGCCAGATGAGACCCCTACTCTTCTACTTTTCTCTTCAACCTCAAACTTCCAAGTTTGCTGAAGGGATGCCAAAATTCTGTTGGTTCACATCTCAATGCCATGGCCCACCTTCCTTACTCTCCTCAACAAGCCTCACAGTACACTTGGCCAAAGTAAGAAGGAGACAAAACCATTACCAATAAAATTGTGAAGTTTTCCAAAACACTGTTCATCATATATTTCTCTGGTAAATGTTTGAGCTTGTGGATGAAGTTGATCATATATTCACACATTGGGGAGCGGTTTATTCGGTATACAAATCGGCCATTCTCAAACCTTGCATACTCCGTCTGTGAGGAAAAAAGGATTTGAGCATTTTTATACTTTTGACTTCAAAATGTAAGATCTCATAGAAATACTTAGAAAGAAAAAATAGTGCCAGATGACCTTGCCTGAAAAGGGAATTAGAAAAACAATGGGTCTTTCTAGCTAGGTATTAGTGGCTCACACCTGTAATCCTAGCTACTCAGGAGTTCAGATTTGTGGATCACAGTTCAAAGCAAGCCCAGGAAGGACCATGAGACTCTTATCTCCAATTAACTACCAAAAAGTTGGAAGTGGAGATATGGCTAGATATGGAGAGCGTGCTAGCTTTGAGCCCCGCCCCCCAAAAAAAAAGAACAGCAACCAGGCCCTGAGTTCAAGCCTTAGGTCTAGCACAAAATGGGGAAAAGGGAAGAGGAAACGAATGTGCAAACTCTATGGGATACAATTAAACCTTAACTGAAGGAAATTTAAGGAAGCAGCCTCATCTCAACTGAGCTGTATTTCAAAATAGCATATGCATACAATACGTACATATGATTTCATCTGTTAATAAAGATAGATGCTAACAAAATATATAAAGAGCAAACCATTTACCAGGCAGGTTTAAAGAGTAACTATTTCCAAGGTCACATATTACTATTACTATTATTATTTTGGTTGGTCATAGGGCTTGAACTCTGAGCCTAGGCACTGTCCCTGAGCTCTTCAGCTCAAGGGGAATGCTCTACTACATAAGCTACAACAACACTTCTTCCGGTTTTCTGGTGGTTTATCTCAGTTTCATGGATTTCCCTGCCCGGGCTGACTTTGAACTATGATCCTCAGATCTCAGCCTCCTGAGTTGTTAGGATTATAGGTGTGAGCCACCTGACAAGGTCACATATTATGCTAGGCCACAGAAGTAGGAAAATATTCTGATTCTTTTTTGAGACATATAGATACTAAATATTAAAATTTGCTACACTATATTTTATTTTATTTTTATTTTTTGGCCTGGACACTGTCCCTCAGCTCTTCAGCTCAAGGCTAGTGTTCTACCTCTTGAGCCACAGCGCACCACTTCTGGCTTTTTTTTTTTGCTTATGTGGTGCTGAGGAATCAAACCCAGGGTCTCATGCATGCAAGGCAAGCACTCTACCACTGAGCCACCTTCCCAGCCCTAGACTATATTTTAAAAGTATAGATTAAGCTGGGCACTAGTGGCTCAAACCAGTAATCCTAGCTACTTAGGAGGTTGAGATCTAAGAATTGTGGTTTGAAGCCAATCTAGGCAGAAAAAGTCTGAGAGACTCTTATCTTCAATTAACCACAAAGACAGAAGTGAAGCTGTGGCTCAAGTGACAGAGCACTAGCCTTGAGCAAAATAACTTCAAGGACAGAGCTGAGGCCCCAAGTACGTACACACACACACACACACACACACACAGACACACAGACACACACACACACACACACACACACACGCGAATAATAATTACTTCTGAGACATAAACTTTCTAAATTACGAGCAAGTGGAATCTAGCAACCTATCTAAAGCTTGACTTCTTCACACAGAGGAGAAAAACTGGAGAAAAATCAAGTATAAGTTGTTAAAAAGGCATTTGAGCCAGGGACCTGTGGCTCACTCCTGTGGCTCATGCCTATAATCCTAGCTACTCAGGAGGCTGAGATCTGATGACTGAAGTTCAAAGCAAGCTCAGGCAGGAAAAAGTCCATAAGACTTTTTTTTTGGTCAGTCCTGGGGCTTGACTCAGGGCCTGGGCACTGTCCCTGAGCTTCTTTTGCTCAAGGCTAGCACTCCACTACTTAAGCTACAGCGCCCATGTGTGGCTTTTTCTGTTTATGTGGCACTGAGGAATCTACCCCAGGACTTCATGCATGCTAGGCTACCACTAAGCCACATTCCCAGCCCCTCCATGAGACTCTTATCTCCAATTAATCACCAAAAAGCCAGAAGTGGGAGTGTGCCCCAAATGGTAGAGTGCTAACCTTGAGCAAGAAAAGAGCTCAGGGATAGCACTTAGAACCTGAGTTCAAGCCCCAGTACTGGCACAAAACAAAAAAGGCACTTGAATAAAATACTGCCTACTTGCCTCCTTTCTTCTCTTTCCTTAGTTCTGTGCTTGAACTAGGGGTACCTGGGCACTGTCCCTGGACCTCTTTGTGCTCAAGGCTAGTGCTCTACCACTTGAGCCACAGCACTACTTCTGGCTTTTTCTGAGTAGGTGAATGGAGATGAGAGTCTCATGGCTGGCTTGGAACCGTGACCCTCAGATCTCAGCCTCCTGAGTAGCTAGGATTACAGGCGCGAGCCACCAGCACCAAGCTTCTTTGCTTTTCTTTCTTCCTTTTTTCTTTTTCTTTTTTTTTTGCTGTCACTAAGATTATATGTTGAAAGCGCAAGACTCTAAGAGGAAAATCACTAGAGCTAAGTAAGAGAATCTGCTCAGGTAGCCATATTAAAAACAGTAAGAACTTCTGTTTACACATATTGCAAAATCCAAAAATCTGCCACAAATTTTATGTGTACTATTAAGAAATATATTCAACAAGGGACAAATCAGTATTAAAAGGCTATTTTAAAAAACCATATAAAATACCTAAAATAAGATAGAAATGCAAACAGGCTCATGACTGGAAATTTTGACATTAACAATATATCCAGTGGGGAGGGGAGGGAGGACTGGGGAGGTAGAGGAAGGGATGGTAGGGGAAAAATAAAGGAGAATGTTAACAATGCTCAATAGGAAATGTATTCTTATTACCTTTCTCATGTAACTGTAACCCCTCTGTACAGTATCTTTACAATAAAAAAATATATATGTTAAGAACAAAAAATTAAGCCAGGCACCGGTGGCTCACGCCTATAATCCTAGCTACTCAGGAGGCTGAGATCTGAGGATCACGGTTCAAAGCCAGCCGGGGCAGGAAAGTCCGTGAGACTCTTATCTCCAATAAACCACTAGAAAACTGAAGTGGCGCTGTAGCTCAAGTGGTAGAGTGCTTGCCTTGAGCTGAAGAACGCAGGGATAGTGCCCAAGCCCAGAGTTCAAGCCCCACAACCGACAAAAAAAAAAAAAAATTAATATATTCATTTCCCCAAAATAACATCTAAATTTAATTTAATTATAATTACAGCGTTCAAACTTTGTTTTTCTTGCACTTTAAAATGTTCTCATTAGAACTGGGAGAGAGGGAGGGAAGGGCTAACATTGAAAAGTAATGTACTCTTTACTTCACTTATATAACTGTAATCCCTTTGTACATCACCTTTATAATAACAATAAAAAATTAAATTAAACATGCTCTCATCATTTGGAAATATAAATGCTGATTACTGTCTTAGAAATAGGAAAAGGATAAATGGTGAGACTGAATTGCTTCACCTAGTATCAGAATCTACTTATAAAGTTGCCTTAAAATAACATAAAATACAGTATTTGGGATAAGGAGATAAAGAGACAGGGTAGAATAGAGTTCAGCAACAGTTGCATAGTTGGTAACTTAAAAGAAACAAGATCTGCTCAACTAAAAAAACTGAATTTAAGAAATGATTTTGAAGGCTGGGCTTACACTTATAATCCTAGCTACTCAGGAGGCTAAGATATGAGGATCATGGTTTGAAGCCAGCCCAGGAAGGAAAGTCTGTAAGACTCTTATCTCCAATAAACTACCAAAAAGTCAGAAGTGGAGCTGTGGCTCAAGTAGTAGAGTGCTAGCCTTCAGCAAAAAAACAAGCTCAGGAACAGTGCCCAAGCCCTGAGTTCAGGACCTAGGACCAGGAAAAGAAAGAAAAGAAATGAAAAGGAAAAGAAGGATTTTGATTCAAATGCCTATCTATTGGCAATAAAACATAAGCAGCCAATAAATGTAAACACAATCTTTTTTTTTGGGGGGGGGATGGTCATCGTGGGGCTTGAACTCTGGGCCTGGGTGCTGTCCCTCAGCTCTTCAGCTCAAGGATAACTACTCTACCAATTGAGCCACAGTGCCACCTCTGGTTTTCTGAGTGGGTTATTGGAGATAAAATTCTCCTGGACTTTCCTGCCTGGGCTAGCTTTGAACTGTGATCCTCAGATCTCAGCCTCCTGAGTAGCTTGGATTACAGGAGTGAGCCACTAGTGTATGGCAACACACAATCTAAATAAAGGCTTTAAGGTACACCTCTACCTGTCACACTCATACTACCTTCTCCATGAAAATTTCTGGTATTGTATTATTGGTCAAAAGCAACCTTTCCTCCCTCCCTGAACTTGCAAAGAACTTTGAACCCACTGAGGGCACCACGAGTAATCTTAAGTCTAGGAAGATAACATAACCTGTCTGGCTCATCTTTCTCTCATGCACCTATCCAAGCAGGAAACACACCTTCAGAAGCCATTCCTGATAGCTTCCTATTCACTAACAATGCCTAACACTAATCTTTCATACTCCTAACCACTGATGGATAGTTTGCTTCCTCCTCAGAGAGCTAGAGGTCACCCAGTCTCCCAAGTCTCCCAGTCTTGTCTTACATGGCTACCACCTTACCATCTCCTCAGGTTTCCATGTTGACCCCATTCCTTGTTTATAACCTCTTCTATTTGTGTCTGACCTCAGAGTTGGTTGCTGCTCCCCAAATTTAACTCTTACGTTATGTTCTTTTTATTTCTTCTGGGCAGTTAGTTCTCCATTCCCATAGCTTTATCTTGTTTTTACTTATCTCCTCAATTGTAGTTTTCCATCCACAATCATCCTATTTTTATTTCTTTATCATTGATAGTGACAAGCATAAATGTGACCTTTGGCACTCCCTCCTTTAATTTTTAATATGCAGTCAGTTTCTACATTCCACTTAAAATTGTCTTGTCTGATTTTCATGCCTAACCTGACATCAAGTCAGCTTACCTCTTCTGCCTTACCAATTCTCACAACCTGTCTTATGTTCAGGAAGCTAGAGGTATCTAAAGCACCCCAGAACCTCATGGCTCAGACCAGGGTCTTAAATATATCCTCTTCCTACTCTCCCATAAGGAATCCTCACACTCAATCCAAAGCACAAAATCCTTGCACATTCAGGCTGGACTCCTGGTTCTTAGAGGTCCAGATCTATTGCAGGTAACTGCACTGCACATGGACTGGTGTAGAAGACAATAGAAAACACAATTTGGAAGGAAATTCCAACTGCAAACATTCATGCAAAGCATCTCAGCGCAATGCAAGAAATATCTAAAGGTTGAGAAGTATGAAATTCTGTAGGCATTTCATTGTAATATAGACTGAATTTGTATTTAAAACAAGTAAAATAAAGGGAGTAGAAATGGCAAAAGCAACATCATCAAGCTCAAGGTGTTAGGGTTTTTGAAGGCAGATGCCATCAGATCACCTTGACTGTTACCCACAAAACCTGAGCATGGCCTGGACCTGGTGGTAGAGTGGGGCCTGCCTTGATACAGCTTTCCTCCCATATCCCAATAGGATACCTGTTGCTAAGGATGCCTGTTGAGGTGACCAGCACTGGCTAGCCAGACAGGAATAATTTCAGAGAGAGTTGGTTCAAACTTCCTATTTCCTTTTAAGTTCTTCCAAATCATTTTGCCTTTTGGCAAAAGTACAACATGCTGCCCATGGAAGTTTAAAGGAAAGCAATGGCTTGCTCCTGAAGGAAATTTCTGTTTCCTGAGGCTAACTTACCTCTACTTTTTCTACTACTTGCTTCCCAAAGGAGCACACTTTGGTGGAACAGGTGACTGTCATATTTTCAGAACTCTCATATTGACTGGTTACGCCATAAAAAGCCCCGGCATCATCTTGAATATTGCAGTTTAAGTCAGCCTGTTGGAAAGGAAATGGGTGCAAATTATTCTCTAGTTCCAGGAGTCACAGTGAAGAGCAGGGTGGGTCATTAAACAGTGTTGTGGTATGTGTGTGGTTTTTGTGTGTATGTATGTGTGAAGCGAGGTGCTCTGCTAGAAACAAGTCACTGCCCAAAGGTTAGTCTTCCCTTTGAAAGACACTATGTACTCATTCTGTTTTACTTGCATACATTCAGCATCAGAGTATCTGTGTTCTTGCAACCGAAGATTTATTGGTCTCTAGACTATATGCTAAAAGCAAGGCATGAATGAGTTTCTTTTTTTCCCCCAAAAAACTAAAACTGCTCCGAGGTGTCTGGTTTTACCCAGGGTCTGGTGTCTGGGAAAAAGAATTGAGCAAAAATGCACACAAATGGTAAAGCAGCACAAGTTTAATGAAGTAAAGTAAGAGGAACATGGGAACTTGCTCCTGTGCTGCAGAGTGAACCTGAACATGAGAGCTCCCTGCTAAGGAGAGGCTCTTTTAGATGGATAATTCTAAATGACAGGAAGAGACTGAGCTGAGAGCCACATGTTATCAATCCAAGATTGCTAATGCTTTCTGTAGGAAATCATCAGATGTTTATAGAAGGTAAACTGGAACTTGTGCCTCACTCCTCACTCTCCTTCTGAACTGGGCCGCCAACTTGATTTGGGGAATGATGGCACTAAAGTGAAATCTAGAAAGTGCAATTAGTGATCCTATAGGATAGAATTTCATATTTGCACTTTGTAAGAAATATACACTTTTATACACATTTGGCTTAAGGGGGAGCTTATGCAAGGAATTTTCATTTTAAACAGCAAATGATTGTACTCTTGTTCATTAAACTGTCATGTTGTGTTTTTGTCAATGTTTCACTGAGGCTTCTTCCCAGGATTTAAAGTTGAACTATCCACAGGAGTAAAGTAGTGAAGTAAACCTCACAAATCTGTTTCTCATAATGAATTCTGGGTTATAGCAGAGTAGATAGGACTGTTTAGCAGTGAAAATGGCCTCACTGGCTTACTTCTCTTTCAATTAACTTAATCTCTTGTTTCTCATGCAGTTAATATATTCTTTTTTCCTCTAAAAAAGGATCCCATAGTCAATTCTGTTACTGTACCATGTAGCTATCTTGTACTGACAGTGATCTTAAATTCAACTAGATAACTAGGTCCTACATCTTAAAGGCTTCTGAAAGTATCTGACAACCAATATTTTAAAGAAATTAGCATATGGAAAAGCTCATTCTACTTTTTGATATTGCTTTTATTTTAGGACCTGGAGCCTCAGTCAGTAGCGAGAGTTAAAAAGAACAACCTCGAGACCAATCTTTTTACACTCTGAATTTCATATTTATACTTGCAAATGCAATGTTGAAAAGAACCTGACCGATCACAACAGTGATTAAGGAATAGTGAATAATAGTGATTATACCATTCTTTTCTATTTTTTGATGCTAATATTTTATTTTTTTAAATATACATTATTGTTATTACAAAGGTGGTGTACAGAGAGATTACAATTACTTGAGACAGGTAATGAGTATAACAGGAAATGTATTCATGAATTAATTTCTTATACCCAAATCTTCAGAAAGACGGCAAAGACAAGAGATTGTACAGCTGACTAATCATTTGTTATGAGTGAGAAAAAGAAACTAGAAATCATAGCACCCAGACAGCAAACAGGTCCTACTAAAGATTGCTTTATAAGATATAAATGCTTAGTACTGATTTAATGTATTTTTATCAAGTACTTATTATGTGAAGCTCATTCTATGCCCTTGACAGGACTTGGTTACAACCTAATATGGTATGGCTTACAGAGAATAAATACCATGCAAAAGGCACTCATTCAGGGTTCAGATAATGGACAGCACGGCCTCTAACCAGATTTAATTACGGGAGGGCTAGGACTGGAATAAGTAGGGAAGAGCTGAAGGAACAGAGTGGGCCAGGTCTTATACCTCACACTGGCTCTGGTACAATGACTAGGGACTCTGGGAGAACTGAGTTTCAAAATATAACTTAGGTCCAGGCTCAGAGGGACTAACTTATATCCTGTAGAGACTGGGGATTTTTCAAGAGTTCTGGTGCCAAGAAGTGATGAAATTATAGCAGTGCTTCAGACAGCCATGTCTGTTAGAGAAGGAGGAGACTCCAGTACTTAGGTCATTGCTGTGGTCTTAATATAAGGGAAATGTAATCTTCAATTTATGGGGCCTTTAGAAAGGTGTTAATCCATTTGTTTTGCCCTAATGGATGGATTAATGCCTGAGTAGAAAAGGCTCTCAGGATTGGGCAGGCTCACCTTTCTGCCTTTTATACTGTGAGGCTGCACAATGGCAGCCTCAAGATGTTGGTGCTTCAATCCTGTACTTCACAGTCTCTAGAAGTATGAGAAATTTCTGTTCTTTATGAATTGCCCAGTCTGTGGTATCTCCGTTTTGCAGCACAAAATATACAAAGGTAGTCACTGAGGGATGCTGCTGTAGCTAAGATCCAAAAGAGGGACATTCTGTCAGAGAGAAGAAGTGTGGGGAGTAGAGGGGCAAGCAGTCACCAAGGAGGACTAAAAATACGGTAGGAGAGACAGCAAATGAGAGCATATGGCAGATGCACAGGGGGTAGCAGGAGGGTTGGACTCTCATATCATGAGACCAAAGGGACATGGGAGTTCTAGGAAAGTAGGACGGGAGCATCGATAAGGTATGATCAGATGTGAAGAGACACCTCTGACCACTGTTTGGGGAAGACAGAAAGAAAGCAAAAAACAGACATAGATGAGGAGGTAGTTATAGCTGTCTAAACCAAAGGTGACAGGTAAAATATGAACTATTGTGACGACTATTGAGAGGTAGGCAGATGCTCAAATAGGATTTTGCATTTTGTGACGTTTGGCACATTTTAACTAGCTACTTGTAATACCTTGAAAAGCTCTTACTACCCTGAAGACTTAAGATATTATATAACATAAACATACATGCACACACACATATACACACAATAAAATAAGACGTGCATTTGGATTTCCTTTTTGGAGTATTAGGTAAAATGTCTATCTCTTTAGACAAAACTTCCTATTTTCTGCCTTCAAATAAAAAGAAATAAGCCAGGTGCTGGTGGCTCACACCTGGAATCCTAGCTACTACAGAGGCTGAGATCTGAGGATTGATGATTGAAGCCTGCTGGGGCAGGAAAGTCTGTGAGACTCTTATCTCCAACTAACCACCAGAAAACTGTAAGTGGCACTGTGGCTCAAAGAGGCAGAGCACTAACCTTGAGTGAAAAAGCTCAGGGACAGTGCCTAGGTTCTGAGTTCAAGCCCCATGACCAAAAAAAAAAAATAAAAATAAAAATAAATAAAGTAAGTAGGGCTGGGAAGGTGGCCCTGGGTGATTCCTCAGCACCACATAAGCAAAAAGAAAAAAGCTGGAAGTGGTGCTGTGGCTCAAGTAGTAGAGCGCTAGCCTTGAGCTGAAGAGCTGAGGGATAGCGCCCAGGCCCAGAATTCAGGCCCCACAACTGGACCCCCCCCCAAAAAAAGTAAGTAGAATTATATACTCAATTTCCCCTTTCCCCTTCCAAGCTAAATTCAGCATTCAACTATAGTGCTTAACATGGACAGTGGCTTCCTAATAGCCACTAACAACCAGTGCAAGCTCATTTGTCTGGTTTTCAATCTGCTTTTACTTGCACCTGTCCAGTTTTAGATAGTATCCATAAATATTGTAAACTTTCTCACCTTTTGCTATTGAACTTACATGGGGACATAAATCATAAATAAAATACCCAGACATGCATTTTTTCACATTTCAAAGTTTTATATTTGGTGTTATAAAAAAGGAGTTAGTGGGAAATAGTGGGCCTTTCTTTACTGGACAATTACTTCTAGTATTAATCACTCTATTTCTGTAGTTGAAAATTTCAAAAACAAAGACTCCAAAAGTAGAAATGTGGAATTGAGAGAACTGAAGTAACTCAAGACTTGGGTTTTCATAATCACTATGCAATCACTGCTCATTTGCAAATCTGTTTACCACCACCAACGGAAGCTATAGCACTATGAGTGCTACAGACCCAAACTTCTCCTGAAGGGGTCATGAATGGAACTGAATCCTATGCTGCAACCATAGTGAAGCACATACTATGTTATAAAAGTCCAATACTAACCTTACCAATTATTTAAGACATTAAAAATTTGGGCCAACAACCCCCCACCCATCCACAATCTATGACATTATAAAGAATAGTGGGTACATGGTGATAATAAAAAGAAAAGACTTTTGATGCTTTTCCCATTGTGTGTAAATTCCCTTCAGACAAGTAATCTCCTTACTGCCTGGTCAGACTATTCCCACCATCTCAACCTTTGCAGTATTGTGGGGTCTGAACTCCCTGAGTAATTTTAGTATTATTTTAATTTAGATTGGCTGCATCATCTTTGGTTATCCTGACGTGAACCTTCAAGAATGAAAATATAAAAGAACATCCACTGTAAAAAATGTATCTTTAACCAAGCCAAAAAATTTTGTTTTAAAGTTGTTAAAGTTATGATTTTTATGTAAAATTAAAGGACAACATCCAGAGATATACATGCCCCCAAACCCTCCCCATACCTCAAAGACTAACCATGATCCCAGTACATTACACCTTAGTTTTGTCTGTATTTTTTTATTTTTTGGTGGGTCATGGGGCTTGAACTCTGGGCCTAGGCACTGTCCCTAAGCTCTTCAGCTCAAGGCTAGCACTCCACCACTTGAGCCACAGTGCCACTTTCGGTTTTCTGAGTGGTTTATTGGAGATAAGAGTCTCCTAGACTTTCTGCTTGGGCTGGCTTTGAACCACAATCCTCAGATCTCAGCCTCCTGAGTAGCCAGGATTACAGGCATAAGCCACGAGTGCCCTGCTTGTCTGTTATTTAAAAAAAAAAATTAAGTGAGGGAATTCATATAGTATTTCTCCCATGGTTTTCTTTGTCTAGTATTATATTTA